AAAAAAAAAAAAAAAAAAAATCTAAAGAAGTCCTGTTCCCTCCCAGTGGGAGGTAAGAAGTGTTAAGATCTCACAAAGACCCGCTGATACTTAAATTCTGGGCTAGGTGCAGTGGTAAACACCTGAAATTCCAGCACTCTGGAGGCTAAAAAGGATTACGACGTCTAGGCCATACTGGGCAATTTAGCAAGATCCTGCCTCAAAATTTTGTTTATTTATTTACTGCCTATTTGAGACAGGGTCTCACTATGCAGTTCAGGTTGGCCTTGAACTCACTTTGTAGCCCAGACTGATCTCAAACTGACAGTGACCCTACTGCCTCAGCCTCCTGAATGCTGGGGTCAGAGGCGTGTCCCACCATGCCCAGCTTTCAAAATAAATTTTAAAGTATTTCCCTAACGTGAGGCCTTGGGTTCAGTCCTCAATAGTGCACACAACCATAAAGCCAATACAAGAAAACACATGTATTGGCTGGGGAGGCAGATCGGCCGTCCAAGTGCCTGCCTGGCAAGTGCAAGGACCCGGGTTGGATCTCCAGTACTACACGCTGTGCTGGCCCAGCACTGAGCCAACCACCGAACCCAGGAATGGTGGCGCACGCCTGTAATTGCAGCACTGGGGAGGCTAAGACAGGGAGATGGCTACAAGTCCAGGCTACATTGCAAAACTATACCAAATGACTGAGGGAGGGAGGGAAAGCATTTGGAGTCAGAATTTCCCCATCACCCCCAAGACTGTACACCATGAAGGAAAAACCAGTTCCCAAGAAAGATGGGATGCTGTTAGGAAATGGGAACAGAGGCTGGCAGGCCCTACGAATGAAAACTGTTCATCTGAGATTTCTGCACCTGAACCCTACATCACTGCACACAACTGCAAAGTCGTCCCTAATGTGTCCAAGTTGAGAACAGAAAGCCAGCTGCGGCGGTGTACTCCTGTAATCCCAGCACCCAGGAGTCTGAGGCAAGAGGATCACTGAATTCCAGGCCAGCCTGGGTACATAGTTCAAGTCATCTTGAACTACGTAGGGGAGACTGTCTCAAAAAAAAAAAAAAAAAAAAAGACGTATTTTTATGTGTTTAGTACAGTCTACAGGGTCACACTACACAGATCAGACTCTTACTGAATCTCCTGTTGTCACCTTCCCAAGGGCTGGGATTACAGGTGTGCACCACCATGACCAGTCTCAATCGCCCTCTCGAGTGCCCCGGAAGCAGGGTTTGCACAGCACCCCAGAGATCAAACCTTGTTCCTCGTGTCTGCCTAAGCAGGTGCTTTAGTCTGCTGAGCTATCTGGCCGGCCTTAAGAGAAGAGACTTTTTTTTTTTTTTGGTGGAACTGAGGATTGAACTCAGGTCTTTGCGCTTGCCAGGCAAGCACTTAAGTCTACTGAGTTGATTTTTAAGGTTCTAGACAGCCATGCCACATTCTCATTTTAGGGGGAAGAAAACCTACATGTCACTTGGTCACTACTCAGTAAACACAAGTTTAGTGAGGGCGCAAGTTCTGGGTTGAAAAGGACTCCATCCTTTCCTGGCTTGCCTGCTGCAGTGCCAGCTTTGGCAGGAGAGTCAGTCTTTTGGCGCCATCTGCTGGCCGTGAAAAACCATTTCCTGCATCTTCACCTCATAAATCCTATTCTGGGAATATTGGAAGGATTTTGTTTGTTTATTTTGTCGTCTTGAGACAGGGTCTCGTTATGCAGCTCAAGCTGACCTTAAGCTCACTTTGTAGCCCAGGCCGGTCTCAAATTCACAAGGAACCTCCTGCCTCTGCCTCCTGCGTGCTGGGATTACAGGCACGCACCACCACACCCGGCTTCAGTAGGAATGTTTAACAACCCTAAAATTATTTTATTCCCAGACAGGGAAAGTTAGAAAATATTGATTTTTCTTTGTCCCTTGTTAGCTCTCGAGTGGCTCTTACATTGTGGCAAACCTTCTCTTGCTTCTTTCTAAAGTAAGATGCGGGCTGGTGAGATGGCTCAGTGGTCTAAAGCACCTACTT